CCTGCCTCCTCTCATCACGCTGCCGCCACCTTTGAGCTTCAGCCCTGTCTTCAGCCCGCCACTTACTCTCTTCAGCCCGCCACTTACTCTCTTCAGCCCTCCACCTCTCCTCCCGGTCATTTTGTGCTTTCCTGCACTCTGACATTATTTGCCTCCACGCATTCGTCTGTGCTCTGTCAGTGTGGGAGGACAGCATGAGCTCGGAGAACATTTCATCGCGAGTGCGTTTTTTTTTTCTTTCTAAGCTTCACTAGCCTCTGGGAAGGAGAAGATCCTGTGATCATTGAAACACATGCAGCTGGTGGAGAAAAAAAAAGGGACAGCGGTATTTGAAAAGACACATTTTATAAAACAGTGGCTACACTCTTTCAGGGTAAACCTTGCTGTTAACATTACATACATAGCACATGTGCTTTCATTACAAGGTCGCATTTTGCCTCCTCCCACCGCGTGACTACCCCCTCAACCTTCCCCCCTCCCTGTGGCTAACAGCGGGGAACATTTCTGTTTAGCCACAGGCAAACAGCCCAGCAGGAATGGGCTCCTCTGAGTGTCCCCTGAAGAAAAGCACTCTATTTCAACCAGGTGACCATGAATTATATCTCACTCTCCTGAGGATAACACAGAGAGATAAAGAACGGATGTTGTTTGAATGCCAGCAAACATACACTGCAATGTTTTGTTCTACAATGATTCCCGAGTACATGTTACTGGCCTGGAGTGGTAAAGTGTCCTACCATGAAGGACGCAATAAGGCTGCCCTCCCCAGAAACCTTTTGCAAAGGCTTTAGGACTACATCTAGGAGAACCGCAAATGCCAGGGCAAAGTAATCCTTTCACATGCTTGCTTTTAAACCATGTATAGTATTTTAAAAGGTACACTCACCAGAGGTCCCTTCTCCGCCTGCTGGGTCCAGGAGGCAGCCTTGGGTGGGTTCGGGGGGTACTGGCTCCAGGTCTAGGGTGAGAAACAGTTCCTGGCTGTCGGGAAAATCGGTTTCTCCGCTTGCTTGCTGTGAGCTATCTACAACCTCCTCCTCCTCATCATCTTCTTCATCCCCAAAACCTGCTTCCGTATTGCTTCCATCTCCATTGAAGGAGTCAAACAACACGGCTGGGGTAGTGGTGGCTGAACCCCCTAAAATGGCATGCAGCTCATCATAGAAGCGGCATGTTTGGGGCTCTGATCCAGAGCGGCTGTTCGCCTCTCTGGTTTTCTGGTAGGCTTGCCTCAGCTCCTTCAGTTTCACGCGGCACTGCTTCGGGTCCCTGTTATGGCCTCTGTCCTTCATGCCCTGGGAGATTTTCACAAAGGTTTTGGCATTTCGAAAACTGGAATGGAGTTCTGATAGCACGGATTCCTCTCCCCAAACAGCGATCAGATCCCGTACCTCCTGTTCGGTCCATGCTGGAGCTCTTTTGCGATTCTGGGACTCCATCATGGTCACCTGTGCTGATGAGCTCTGCATGGTCACCTGCAGCTTGCCACGCTGGCCAAACAGGAAATGAGATTCAAAAGTTCGCGGTTCTTTTCCTGTCTACCTGGCCAGTGCATCTGAGTTGAGAGTGCTATCCAGAGCGGTCACAATGGAGCACTCTGGGATAGCTCCCGGAGGCCAATACCATCGAATTGTGTCCACAGTACCCCAAATTCGAGCCGGCAACGTCGATTTAAGCGCTAATCCACTTGTCAGGGGTGGAGTAAGGAAATCGATTTTAAGAGCCCTTTAAGTCGAAATAAAGGGCTTCATTGTGTGGACGGGTGCAGGTTTACATCGATTTAACGCTGCTAAATTCGACCTAAAGTCCTAGTGTAGACCAGGGCTAAAGGGAAGCATCTCAGAATCTCTGTCTAGTTGCCCATTTGGGGTAAATGTTCATAAAGGAAGGGGATAGCACTAACATAAAAAGACTACAAGGGTGGAAGTTAAGGTGGATTCAGCACTGGGTAGGGTATCAAAATTAAACTAAAGAATCTGAGTTGCTTCTGGTTTATCCGTAACTCTTTTGCTGTCCCAACTAACTGCACCAGGACCTCACACCTTCTCCAAAATATCACAAGTAATGCCATGAAGTAGTTTGTGTCACAAGGCTGTACTGTACAGTGGGCGAGAGGGAATCCAATGGGAAATTGTATTTTCATGCAATCATGCTCATTTTACAAATGTTTACAATTTCCTTGATATTTATCTGTATTGAAGGCATATACGCTGTCAATGGAGTGGAGAGGCCTTTTGCTTAAGCATTACAAAATGCAAGCCTGAAAGAACATTTGAAAAATGCAGCTTCGTATGTTTAGAATGAACAGTAAAATTCTTTCAAATTCAGTTACTTGGAAAACTTTGTGTCTTGCAAGTTATATGATAAAGCGGCCTCATTCTCATCCCAAAACAGTCAGGATGCATTGGAGGTCCCGTCCAGACTTACATTTCTTTGCTTCTTGCATTATTAAGAGTGGCTGGTGTTCAGGTGATAATGGAGCTAAGCTCTATCAATATATTGTGACAACAGATTATGGGAAAAACCTTGAAAACATGAAAAGAGCAAAACCAGACGCACAGGCATTTGCCTGCCCCTGCAGAGAGCCTGACACAGGAGCTCAGAGAGGTGTGAACTGCCCCATTCATCAAAGAGGGGTAACTCCCATGCCAAGTGATGGTGGTATACATGTCTAGATTTTTAACCATTTCACTGCTGATCAAAGTAAGCAAGAAAGGAGAGGGAGGATTGCATATGTGCATAATCTACTGGGACTGGCATCTCATTTTCATGGTGAGAGTGGATGTCATTAGGGAACTTCACACTTCCATGGCCAAAATCTGACCCTTGGGGCTAAAAGACCAGATGACACCAATCCCACAGACCCCAGCTTGGCATTTACCTGTTGAAGTCCTGGGAAGGTGGGTGGGCACACACCAGGAACAGCAAGGGCCGGGTGGAGGATAAAGAGTTACTTCTCTTGGGGTGGATGCTGCTTCTCCCCCTGCAGGAGGCTGGGTGCAGACATGGGCAGACATCACTGTCTCAGTTCTATTCAGTGGATATTCTCAAGCTTTTCTTTGCAGCCATGTGAGGTAGAAACATTTATTTGTAAACGGCAGCTGAGATTGACATAATCACATGCCTGGGATCCAGGCATGTGGCTATTGTGCCTCCGTCTTAATCTGGTCATACCCACTGGTGTAGCTGAAGCTTACCGAGAGGGACCCGAGCCCAAAGGGGAACCCAGCAGAGCATGTGTGCTCATGTTTTGTACATCTGCACAATCTGCTATAAGTAGCATCTCATGCAGGCAGAGCTTGGATTGTGGCCAGGGCTTGGGACAGTACCACCATTTCTTTTTCCAATTCAAACCCTGAGGGAGAACAATGAAGGGGTCACAGACGGATAAACACTCCTTTCTCCCGCCCTTCCCTGTAACAGAATGTGGTATACTTTTCTCTTTTCTTTTTTTTTTTTGGAAAGGGGGATGAAGGAGGAGAGGGACAAGTTCTTCCAGTTACCCTACCTAATGCTTGTTACCCAACAAAATGCTTCACTATCTATCTAAGGTATTTACATAGCCCTGATTGCCAGAGTATCTGAGCACCTCACAAAACCGCTATGAAGTATGGAAGCCACATTATCCCCGCTGCACAGAGGGGGAACTGAGGCACTGAGAGGCTAAGTCACCTTCACAAGGTCACGCAGGAAGTCTGTGGTAGAGCATAAAATTGAACCCAGCTCAAATCCTAGGCTAGTATCCTAACCACTGGAGAAAACTACCAGTCTTCAGTATGCTACTTTTCGTTACAGTATGCCAGTTTTTACTTTGAAACTATGGCCAACATGCAGGAGAAGCAGGCACATTGATATCTGCAACCTTTCCATCAGAGATGGTCTATATTTGTCTGATATTTTTATTTGGGGGGGGAGGTTAGATTTTTCAAAACAAAATGAAAAGTTCTGTTTCAATTTTTTACCCTTTTCTCTACTTCTTTTTAAAAACTTTTCTCTCCCCTTTCCCATTGGAAAGGGCCATGAAAGTCTATGGCTTTTTAAGTCACAGAGGTGTTTTTGAAAATGTTATCCATCCTAACTAGCAACTGTTTCTAGGCAGGCTGTGGAAGCAAAGTGAGTTCAGCTGGATGACAGTAAAGACCCAGGAGTGTTAATTGGAATTACATTTGGGGAATAACTCATGCCCAATCTCTGCAGTCCCCAAGGGATTTGCATTCTCCAATTGGTCAGGAAAGTAAAGCCTTCTTTTCATTGATTCCCTGAACTGTCAGTCTTGAGTATTTCACTCCCTCCCCTCACAATTACATCACCAGGAGTGTATAAAATCTGACCAGGTGGTAAATAGAGTAAAGCAGTGTCTGGAGTACTGAGAAAGGTAAGTGAGTTGGTTTGGTGCTTGCCCTTGAAGTAGTAGGACTTGTTGGTAATAAGGATTTTAGTCATTTTTTAAAAATTGTTTCTACAATTCCTTGGTCAGGGCTTTGCAGTTATGCTGCTTTGAAATGTTTAGATGTGTAAGCGTCTGTATTAAGAAGCTGTGGGTGGGACAGCAGTTGGGAAGCTGAGTCTGGGAAACTTAATGCTTGTTGGCCTTAAGCCCCTTAGCTGGTGAGAGACAGGATCACATTTTCAAATTTTTTTCTGCAGTTAAAGCTATTAAATGGCCTTTAATAATGATACTTACTGCCTTTAATGGACTCAGGAAAGCGGACTGTTTTGAACCTCTCTATGCTATGAGAAGGAATCCTCCTGCTTCCTTTCTCCTTAGCTGCAGTAGAACTGAAATTGTCACTACTCTTATTTTTTTTTAAGCAAGAAATATGTACTTAGCTCACTAAAGAGCTAATGTTCCTCTAAATATTACTACTTTGTTAATCTGCTAATGGCCCTGCCATTTCTTCTACTCCTTCTTTGGAGCAGAACACTGATCTTGTCTTTAGGATGCTGTAAATTTCTTAAGGAGAAGTTAACTTGTAACTTCAGGCCTTTCTTTCTTGCCCTTTTCAGGTATATCTGATTATACCATGACTTCTATTGGAAAAGACACCAATATGGCATCCCCAGAGCATGGGGAGGAGGAGCAACAGGTAGGTGCTTCCTCTTTAGCATTGCTAGTTCAACATGTGAATACAAAAAATAACTGGCTGGCGTCTGGTAGCGGGCTTCACGTATGCCCACCTCCATGTCTAGAGATCTATTCAGTTGCTCTTCCAGAAGCTGCAAAATAGCTTGGCTTATAAGGATGTTTAAAAATTCTTTTTGCTTTAGTTAAACTTGTGATCTGGTTTCAGTTCTCAGAAGCAGCTGTTGGGCCTCTTAGCTCTTCAGGCTTTCACACCATTAAACAATCCTTTGACTGGGGAGGCAACATGTCCAAGGGTATAAAAAGTAATGGTTCAGACCCAGTTTAGAACATTGCTTCCCTGACTCACTGTTCTGTCCCTTGCCTCTCTAGAATGTCTTGAGGAGGGTGGCTAGTCTACCTTTAGTCAACTCTGCCTATGATCTGGCTGCCACTGCATATGCTTCCACCAAGGAGAGCCATCCCTATGTGAGGTCCATCTGTGACATGGCAGAGAAGGGAGTGACGTCCATAACCAACGTTGCAGTAAGCAGTGCACAGCCACTTGTAACTAAACTTGAACCTCAGGGTGAGTGGCGCATATGCAGACCTTTCTGTTTGTATGGTACAATTCCTTGACAGTAGGATCTCAACACCCAATTGGGAAGCTTCCATCTCTAAAACTCATATAATGAAAATCCGTATGCCTGCAGTTCTGGAGGACAGGCTGGCAGCAGGGTTGGTGTGGTGATAGGAATAATACAGTAGCCTGTGGATATAAACTACCATTTGCTAGAGGATAGTGAAGGGCTTTGCTTACACTAATTACTACTGCTGAACTTGTACTCGCCTTCACTGTAGCTAGGAGGTGAGATTAGTGCTCAGCCCTTTCCCTTTAAGGAGCAACACCCTTTGAAAGGTACCTAATTGCAAAATGAGATTCTCATTCTGTAACTTGAGAGGCTCAATGTAGTCTCTTATTGGACCAACTTCTCTTGGTAAGATTACCTCACCCACCTTGTCTAATATCTCTGGACCAACATGGCTACAACAACACTGCAAACAGATTACAGCTGTTAAACTATTCTTAACTAGCTTCTTTTCGAGCTATTGCCTGATGCCAACAGCAATGGGCACTCCCTGACTTGCCTCCTTCATGAGAACAGTTAATTGGATTTATTGCAGCCAAGGCATTGCAAAAACTTATTGGTCCCTTCCAGAGGGATGAGTTAAACCTTTGATCAATCTTCAGAGCTGTAAGACTATGGAGTGAGAGATCCTTGCACATAGTCCATTCCCACTCTACCAAGAACTAATCCCTCACCAGAAGAGGGAGCCTGGAAAGTAATGCCTAGCATGCTTGGGTAAAACAATTCTGCAGTAAGTATAGATGGGAGGAGAAAGTGTTCTGATGCTAGTTGGAACAATCTTGATTGAGTAACTGAACTAAGATGTATGGGAGGAAACCTGGAACTAAACTATTGAAGGGGACGCTACTTTTCATGGAAAACTTTTACCAGAAAAGCTCATCTCTTGGGGGGAGAGGGAGGAAATCCCCCTGAAGGTCTAGATTCCATGCAAGTGTGTAAATGTGCAGCACCTACAACCCAAACTGCTGCTGCCTGAATATATTGGAGAACCAAAGATCTCATTACAGATGTGAGCCAGGTTCTGTACATATTACAGTAGCAAAATTGACCAATTAAGAAACTATGGTGTCTCTCTAGTGATGACAGCAGATGAGTGTACTTCTGAAGTACCTGACAAAGTGGAGGAGACTCTACCAATCTTTCAACAGACTGCTGATAAGGTAACTTTCACCACCCTCGCTCTACAAGATTAAGTGTTTATGAAAGGGGTGCCAATAATGAGATGCTTCCTCCAGTAGAGGAACACTCAATACTAAAAGCAGTCAAGAGGTGGGAGCTAGTGTTTAACAGCAAGATGCAGTTCTTACCCCTGAAGATTTGACCTATGGGGCAGAGCAGGTGGTAATCCCCCAACCTCAATCTCTGGGTCAATGTGGAATTATCACTCTGCATTACTGTACAATAATGTCTTGAACTTTCTCTGTTACATCTGAAACACAGGAGTTGGCATCTTCCAGACTGACAGATGTCAAAGAGACAATGATCAGAATGGTAGATATGACCAAAGAGGCTGTACAGGATGGTATGAAGACCACCAAATCAATGGTAACTGACCGCATGAGCACAGTTGTGGAATCAAGAATGGGCCAGTTGGCCATAAGTGGAATGGAAGCAGTGCTGGAGAAATCTGAAGAGCTTTTGGATCACTATCTTCCCATGACAGATGATGAACTAGGTCAGAACACATGAATGACAAGCTTATTATCTTAGCTTTTAAGATAATCCTCCCTTTGGGCCAAACTTCTCTAGGCTTCTCCTCAATCCTGCATCTGTCACCAAATTCAGGCTCATCCTACAGCATGCTCATATCTTAACCCTCAGTCTCTGCTTTTAGTTGGCAGGCATGTTGCCTGAATTTTATGGGATTACACGTGGGGACAGGGTGGTACTGGAAGGAATTATGGGCATGACTATTCATTAGAAGTAAGTTTCCTTATCCAAATAAGCAAAAACTGGCTTAATCTTATTTAGTGGAGCAGTTACAGGTGGGCCTTTTTTTAAAGGCTGAAATTACTTGATAGGTGCTAAAACTCCCTTGTTACAGGAGTTTGGCTTAAGATTTAACAGAAGATCAGTATGGCTTGTACTCCTTTCCCAATCTCTTAATTTGAGAGGGTGAACAACCTGAGCTTTTTTCCCTCTAGCTGAACTTGCTGAACCTGTGGAAGGTGCTGAAGTGTCTTCAGCACAACCACAAGAGCATCGGAGTTACTTCGTGCGTTTAGGTTCCCTGTCAACCAAACTTCGCCAACGTGCCTACCGCTATTCCCTAGACAAGATGAGACGTACCAGTCAAAACATCAGAGAGGCTCTTTCCCAGCTTCATCAAACCATGGGACTGGTAGGAAATAAACTAATTCTTAGGCTGATGCCCTCCAGGGTGGGGAACCCCTCTAATTCTGCCTGTACAGGATGTGGTACAATGAGGCTTAGACCTCAGTCATAGTTGTGTGCTATGTAACTAGACCCTTCTACTCTTGATGCATTGAGCATACCACTCTGTGGCGTGAAGGCTAGTTCATAAGCAGTAGAACTAGAATAAATGATGTGCAAGTGTCTGTTCTCAATATGCTTAATCCATTTCTAGATTGAATACATTAAGCAAGGTGTTAAACTTCAAGAAGTCCAAGAGAAGTTCCATCACATATGGCTGAGCTGGAATAGAGAGCAGCCAAAAGGCAGGGAGATCAAAGATTTGGCAAAACCAGAGGTATGTATGGGGGGGGGGGGGGGTGTCCCTCTGGTCTGCAAGGCCCAGAATATTGGCTAACCTTGCAGAGTGGCTTATCTTTGGATAAGTAGCTGATCTTAATCAGGTGACTTATTACAAAATGTCATCTATTAGCATAATAGAAATAGGTGGCTTCCTTGCTTAGACATCCCTAAAGTGACATCACACCAGCAAGGTCTGTGCCAAGCATGAATCTAAAGAGACTGCTTCTTACTTTTTTAACCTCAGCACAGCCTGAAAACTGATATTGTAGATCATAGGCTTGCAACTGGTGAAACCCCTGTTAAATAACTTGGATTAGCTCTGTTCTGACCCAGTTTACAAGGCTTATTGCCTCTGGTGTTAACCTCCATTGTCACAAGCTGCTTCCCTTAAGGAAGGAGGAATTTGGCTTTATATTTCTCCTGAAAGAGTGCATGGCACACCCATTGCAGACTTTGTTGCAAGGTACTAATAGAAAGACCATTGGCTCCAACACCACCTGAGGCAGTGGCAAGTTTGATATTTATTTTTTGAACATTAGAATTAAACTTCTACTTCTCCAACAGATGGAGTCTGAGACTTTGGCTATGTCCCGCAGCATTATCCAGCAGCTGCAGGATGCCTGCCAGATGCTAGTATCCAGCATTCAAGGTCTCCCCACCACCTTTCAGGATAAGGTGCAACAGGTGTATCACAACATGGAAGAGCTTCATGATTCTTTCTCCACTGCCCATTCCTTCCAGGATCTCTCCAGCAGCCTCCTGACTCAGAGCCAGGAGATGGTGACCAAGGCCCAGGAATATGTGGATGAGCTGATGGCATACATGATGGAGAATACTCCTCTGTCTTGGATTGTGGGACCCTTCACCCCATCGGGTAAGGTGTCTGCAGATTCCATTGAACCACAAAACCAAGAAAATGAGGCTGAGGAAGCTGAAGTCGTCACAGCATCCAAGTCTGAGGAGGCCTTGTGACCTAGAAACATAAAACTTCTTCTCTTAAGGAAGAAGGCAGAATTCCTTGTCTCCACAGATTCAGTCAGTCTTCCTTGTGACTCCATGTGTACTAGCACAGGTCTGCAGGAAAGACCCCAATGGCTAGTACTAGTAAGCAATGTGTGCCTCATCTCTAACTTCTGGAGGTGTTGTGTCTTCTATAATAGAGATCACTTCTCAGCTCAGATACTACTTGTTTGTGTTTAATATCACTGTCTTCAAAATAAAATGTCACTGCATTTGAATGGAGGTCTAATCTGCTCTTTCTAAGAGGTGGTTTCCTGGTCTATAGTAGACATCTGTACCTGCAATTAGTCATGTTACATGCAGTCTTGTTTCTCAGTAGTAGCAACCAGTGGCATTAGTGTGTAGACACTTAGAGTAAACTTCTGAGGCATCTATATACCATAGAACCAAATCTAGAGCCTTAAAATTTCTAAGTAGTTCTAGATCAACTACTCACAGCTGTAAACATGCTTTAGTTTCTGGTTAAACTTACAACAGAGAAGTTACTTTTGTTGCTTTCAGATGGCTGTGGTAGAATTGCACTTGGGATTTCAGGTAGCAACTTCTAAAAAGCAAACAGTGCAGTTAAAAATCCTACCACCATTCTTGCCTAGATTGGCCAGACTCTACCTGGATTGCTCCATCCTAGGGCAGGGACCAGGAGAAAATGAGGCAAAGGAATCCCAGGAATATCTCATAAAACAGGGCAGGCACTAGAGGGGCTCTAAGGCATAGATGTCACAGCCTAAAACATTGGTTATTCTGTTTGGGAATGTGTGTATAATCTTGAACACCTACAAAATCACTTGGAATCTGGATCAAGGCTGCATAAATCAGCACTTCACAGCTGGAAATGTAGAAGTCTATACCAGCAAGTTTTGCACTTAGGCACAGCAGGCCCTCTAAAATCCACATCATAGGGTGACAAATACAAAGCTACCCCTTTGATAAGTCTGGTTTCAAAAAACAGTCTGGTGGTACCTTAAAGACTAGTTGGGCATAAGCTTGCCTGGGTAAAGAACCCACTTCAGATGCATCTGAAGTAGGTTCTTTACCCAGGCAAGCTTATGTCCAAATAAATCTGTTAGCCTTTAAAGTGTCCCTGGACTCAACTCTTTGTTCCCTTTTATCATCAGAGGGTGAATAATTTAGCTTTTCCCACAGCCTCAGATCTACCTGTCAAAGAGGAAGGGTATCAATGACTAGTATGAAAAATACATAGTAAACCACATTGTAACATAATACAGATACAATAAGGGCTTTTGAAGTTCAAATGAAGGTGGTACAGTCCCATAATACAGAGGATATGCACTCTGTTTAGTGCTCCACTTCCCCCAGGAAAGTAAGCACAGAGACCCAATGTTTTTGGAGGTATGTAGGCATTGCTCCACTCACATTGCAGGACCCCCCTGAGACCAAGTTCTGTTTACAAGTGATATAGGGATTTAGATGCTGGAGTCACTCTTTGACAATTAAACTTACATTGCTGTCACATGGGTCTTGCAGAATAGTGCTTAAACACATTAAAAATAAAACTAGGCCTCTCTGAAGAAATTTATAGTTCAATTTAAAACCTATGCCAAACTTGAGGGTGCTATGATAGCTTGCTTACCACCTGTGTCCTAGGTTATTCCCAGCCCTGCAATTCCCTTGAATCATTTCTATGCTTTGTGCCTCTGTAAAAGGGGTCACATGATGCCATTTGTAAAATGGGGATAACCATTCTCTGTAATGAAGTTCTTTGAAATCTGGTTATATTTAGTAACTAACAAAAGGGGGCCCAGTTGCAGCTGGGGCCTCCATGTGCTACTCTGCTGCAACTATTACAGCTGTGAACTTCCTAACATGCACAAGTACTAAAGTTTGCATAGTGTAGCTGTACCCAAAATGTCAGTGGGAGAGAAGTTGTTCCAGATGTGTTTTCTAAACCACTGTTTTACAGAGGGAAAACAGATCTAGTGGTTCTGGAATACCTACCTTTTATAAAAGCCAACATGAATGCCTTGCCTACACTAGAAAGGGAGATGCAGCTTATTCCAGCAGGAGAGTTTCATGCCAGTATCATTTATGGCTTCAGCAAATGAAATAAGTAGGGCTGTCAATTAATTGCAGTTAACTCACACAATTAACTCAATCATGACTAAAACATTTAATTGCACTTAATAGTTATGTTTTTAATATAGTTTAATAGTGTACTTAATAGTTATAGTTAAATGCACTTAATAGTTATAGTTTTAATACTTAAAACATTTAATTGCACTTAATTAACTTAATTAGTTAATAGAATACTAATTGAAATTTATTACATATTTTCAGAGTTTCTACATTTTCAAATATATTAAAACAATACAATGTGTACAGTGCTCATTTTATATATTTTTATTACAAATTTTCACTGTAAGAATAAAATAGTATTTTTCAATTCACCTCCAAGTACTGTAGTGCAATCTCTTTACCAGGAAAGTGCAATTTACAAATGTAGACTTTTTTTGTTTTGTTTTTGAGACAAATTATGTAACAATGTAAAACTTTAGAGCCTACAGCTCCACCCAGTCCTACTACTTATTCTGCCAATCGCTAAGACAAACAAGTGTGTGTACATTTACAGGAGGAGATGCTGCCTGCTGCTTCTTTACAATGTCACCTGAAAGTGAGAACAGGCATTTGCGTGGCACTTTTGTAGCTGGTGTTGCAAGGTATATATGTGCTAGATATGCTAAGTATTCGTATGCCCCTTCATGCTTCAGCCATCATTCCAGAGGACATGCTTCCATGCTGATGATGCTTGTTAAAAAAGAATGCATTAATTAAATTTGTGACTGAACAACTTGGGGGAGAACTGTATGTCTTTGGCTCTGTTTTACCCACATTCCGCTGTATATTTCATGTTACAGCAGTCTCAGATGATGACCAGCACATGTTTGTTTTAAGAACACTTTCACTGCAGATTTGACAAACCACAAAGAAGGTACCTGTCATAAACATAAAGGGAAGGGTAAACCCCTTTAAAATCCCTCCTGGCCAGAGGAAAACTCCTCTCACCTGTAAAGGGTTAAGAAGCTAAAGGTAACCTCGCTGGCACCTGACCAAAATGACCAATGAGGAGACAAGATACTTTCAAAAGCTGGGAGGAGGGAGAGAAACAAAGGGTCTGTGTCTGTCTGCATGCTGCTTTTGCCAGGGGTAGAACAGGAATGGAGTCTTAGAACTTTTAGTAAGTAATCTAGCTAGGCATGTGTTAGATTATGATTTCTTTAAATGGCTGAGAAAAGAACTGTGCTGAATAGAATGACTATTTCTGTCTGTGTGTCTTTTTTGTAACTTAAGGTTTTGCCTAGTGGGATTCTCTATGTTTTGAATCTAATTACCCTGTAAGGTATCTACCATCCTGATTTTACAGAGGTGATTCCTTTACTTCTATTTCTATTAAAAGTCTTCTTGTAAGAAAACTGAATGCTTTTTCATTGTTCTCAGATCCAAGGGTTTGGGTCTGTGGTCACCTATGCAAATTGGTGAGGATTTTTACCAAACCTTTCCCAGGAAGTGGGGTGCAAGGATTGGGAGGATTTTGGGGGGAAAGATGTGTCCAAACTATGTTGCTCGGTAAACCCAGTTAGAGTTTGGTGGTGGCAGTGGATATTCCAAGGATAAAATTAATTTGTACCTTGGGGAAGTTTTAACCTAAGCTGGTAAAAGTAAGCTTAGGAGGTTTTCATGCAGGTCCCCACATCTGTACCCTAGAGTTCAGAGTGGGGGAGGAACCTTGACAGTACCAATGTGAGATTTCTAAAGCTAGCTACAGCACTCGACCCAAGGTTTAAGAATCTGCAGTGCATTCCAAAATCTGAGAGGGACGAGGTGTGGAGCATGCTTTCAGAAGTCTTAAAAGAGCAACACTCCGATGCGGAAACTACTGAACCTGAACCACCAAAAAAAGGAAAATCAACCTTCTGCTGGTGGCATTTGAGTCAGATGATGAAAATGAACATGCATCGGTCTAAACTGCTTTGGATTGTTATCGAGCAGAACCTGTCATCAGCATGGAAGTATGACCTCTGGAATGGTGGTTGACGATGAGGGGACATATGGATTTTTAGCGCATCTGGCATGTAAATATCTTGCGATGCCGGCTACAGTAGTGCCATGTAAACACCTGTTCTCATTTTTAGGTGACATAAACAAGAATCAGGCAGCATTATCTCCTGCAAATTGTAACCACATTTGTTTGTCTGTCTGAGCGATTGGCTGAAGTAGGAGTGAGTGGACTTGTAGGCTCTAAAGTTTTATATTTTATTTTTCAATGCAGTTTTTTTTGTACATAATTCTACTTTGTAAGTTCAACTTTCATGGTAAAGAGATTGCACTACAGTACTTGTATGAGATGAATTGAAAAACACTATTTCTTTTGTTTTTTACAGTGCAAATATTTGTAATAAAAATATAAAGTGAGTACTGTACATATGAAAATGTAGAAAACATCTAAAATATTTAAATAAATGGTATTCCATTATTTTTTAACAATGCAATTAATTTTTTAATTGTTTGACAGCCCTAGAAATAAGCTATATTTGCAAAGGGCTTTCCCCCCAGCATATCTGCATCTATACAGGGTCTTTGGGAGCTCTGCATATAACAAGAGATGTTTTCACTTCTTGAAAATTTACCTTTTTTATTTGGTTTATCATAATTCCAAAACACTCTGTAGGGTTTGCCTTAACTCGGGAAAGGTTTGAATTTGCTTCAGACTGAGCTAAAACCAACTTTTTTTTTTCTTAATATAGATACAGGAGCCGAGGCTAAAAATCGACCAGCTAATACGTTAAAGATGTTGCCCTGCATCTGCACTAGGAAAATAGCAGAGTTTAGGTCACTTAACTAGTATGCATTAGGTTACATGGGTCCAACCTAAACTCAAACTTTTTCTAGTTATTTTTTTCTCCTTTCTTCTCCCACAGAAGGTTGGGGGAAGAACTGGTAACTTTTCAGGGAAGAGAGAGGTAGGTGTCTTGGGATAATAGTTATGGAGTTATTAAAGGTAGTTTATGCATACATAAGGAATTCTGCAAGGTTAATAAATATCTTGTCTAGTCTGCCTTTTGCTGGCATAACTGTCACTTAGGAATGCTGTGCCAGCAAAAGCACCCTGTATAGGGATACACTGTTAAGCTGATTATCCATTATGCTCACCAAGTCATTTTCACAGTTGGTGCTTACCAGAATAGTCCCCTATCTTGGAAATATGTCAAAATGGATACTATTTGCTTGCACACAGCTTACCAAGCAATCAAGATCACTCCGCATCAGTAACCCTCTTCATTATTTATGCTCCTCCAGTCGTTAGAATCTGCAAATTTTTTCAGTAATGACTTGGGGCTTCATTCAAAGAAAGTTAGGGCATTAGAATGCTGAGCATTTGCAATGCTCAACTTTTAGGGGCCTACACAATCACAGGAACACCACTGCAATCCACAAACAGGGACGCCAGAACAGGGCGGTGGGAGGGGCCAGGAGGTCATGGCTCCATCACTTTTTACTGGCCGTAAGGGCGGGTGAGGGGGCAGACAGAAGTGAGTGGGGGATGGGGTCGTGCAGGAGGGGGAAGGGGCGGCCTGGGGGTCGGCACCACAGTTCCAGTGCCAATGCCTCCCCCCTACTTTTAGGCTTTGTGGACAGGAGTAGCAGAGGCTTCCTAAGTTAAGCATCTAGGCTCCCCATGCAATGAAGGGGGAGAGCTAAGCACCTTAGAATTCAGTTCATAGGAGCCAGTGCATTAGGTGGGGAGCCACCTAAGTTAGTCAAATAGGATATGCTGGTAACGGGTATGTGTCATAAGCCACATCCCTCTAATAGACATAAATGCCTATCTCTGGTAGTGCTCCACGACTGAGCGCCCCTGTCATGAAATCAGTTGTTTCTAGATTGAGTGATTAGAGCTGGGAGACTGGACACCGTATGCTTTACACCCAACCCCGCCAGCTGGATGCCCTACTCACCAGGCTCCAGAGTCATTCTCTCTCTCTCTACCCCAGTGACTCTAAGTATTTATCCACAGTAGAACAACTTCAACTAGTCATACTGGATACATCACTGGCATGGCCAAGGACTAATTATTTGTCCTAATTTGCTGAGATTTCCCGACCTCTCCTTATTTTTTCCCTTCCCACTGTACAGTTAGTAAAATTCCTACCACTCTTCCTAGCACAGGTACACTCCACACCATATGACAGGAGTGCCTGTCTGACTCGTATCTATAGAGAAACATTAATAAAGACTTCATGGGGGTATATCTCATCAAACAAATGCTTCCACGGCCAGCACTCAAGGAGCTCTCTCCTACAGATGATCATGTAACGTGAAATGTTATTCCTGTATTGTATGTATCATCAAAAATGTGTTAACTACTTATGCTAAACAATTTGTTCCACCTTGTACTTAGCCGTGACACTGAGTACGTTTCCTGAAGCAGAGCTCTGTGTAGCTTGAAAGCTTGTTTCTCCCACCGCCAAAAGCCGGTCCAATAAAAGATAGCACCACACCCACCTTGTCTCTCAGTGGCATTTAGCCCCACAATTCCACACTATAGTACTCTTGAACACTTGTAAATCACTTGGATGCTCTACCAAGGTTGTGTGCTTCAGTACTCAAGCATAGGAAATGCCAAAATAGAGGCTGACCATGCAATTCTAACCCTTGTGCGTAGCAGGCATTCTAAAACTATCACTTTGTATTGCCTACTAAGTAATCTAGCTTTTCCACAACCTCTGGTCTACCTGTCAAACACTATCACTCACTTGTATGAAATATACATAGTAACCATCATTGTGTAACGTTACACTAAACAAATGTAACAGAACTCTTTGACTTGCAAATGCAGCTGGCATATAGCTCTTTTCATAGTTTGCTTCCTTATGCTTCTGAACTGTACTTCAGAAGCAGCTGTCAGATTTTAAAGCGGAAGAAAGAAATTGTATGATATATGGGTAATGATTAAATACACAGGTAAGAAATCTAAAGATAAGCTGGACATTTCTGTGAAAATAGTTAAACATAAATATACATGACTGGAAAAAGTTACAACTCTGTCAGGTTTCGAGAGAGAGGAGGGATAAATGCTATGTGATCATGTATGTAAGGCTGTACCACACTGCATCCATGTAAAGAAGATGCAGTTAAATCTGTAAATGTGAGCTTAATTTTGTCACGGCCTGATTCTCAAGTGCATTCTTTACATTCTTAATTGTGACTTTGCAAATATAGCCCATATTCTGTGCATTAATACACTGCCAACTCCAAGAAACCAAGCCTTCCGAAGAAAGCTGCACTTCAAGCTGAAAGCCAAGACAAAACTCTGGAGGGCATCTGGAAGAGTTGAGCAGGGTGAAGGAGTGTCATCCTGTGGATAAGACAGGACACTGCACTATGATTCAGGAATCTGAATTGCTATTCCTAGCCCTGGCACTAACTCACTATGTGACTCAGGGCAAGTTATTTCAATGCTTTGTGCCCCCATTTCCCATCTGTATAATGGGAATGATGACACTTATGAAGTACATTGAGAGCTCTCGGTTGCATATACTCAATAACTAGCCCAATGGGGCTTAGTCTCAGGTGGGGCCTCTAGGTGCTACCGGGCTGTAATTGTGAACTTCCCAGCAGGGGCACAATCACTATAGGAGTTTGCATAATGTAACGCTGCTCCATAAAAATCATAGACTATCAGGGTTGGAAGGGACCTCAGGAGGTCATCTAGTCCAACCCCCTGCTTGAAACAGGACCAATCCCCAATTTTTGCCCCAATCCCTAAATGGCCCCCTCAAGGATTGAACTCACAACCCTGGGTTTAGCAGGCCAATGCTCAAACCACTGAGCTATCCCACCCCCCAGCAAATCCCATATGCTGAAAGCTGTGCCAGATGCAATACCTAAACCATTCCCTATTCTTAGGGGAAATGATCTAGCTGTTCTTAAATTCCTAGTTTCTGTAATAATCATCAAGAAAATATAGGAACCCCGCAGAATTTTTCATGTATGCATAAAGAGAAATTCCCCTGGCCATAAGAAAAAATAATCAAAGATACCAATGATCCACTCCACAACACACACTCCACCTTGCAAAAGAAGAGAGGAGAATAAATACTTGACTAAGTAAAGAGATTGAGTTTAGGGTTGGACCTACCTGACCTGACACATGCTGACCTAATCTCAGTTTAGATGGATGAGTTATATCCTAGTCTTCTGCACCTACACTAAGAATAAAGATTGGCTTGTATTAAGTAAATCTAAATTAATACAACCCCTTTCCTTAGCCAAGGCAAACCCCACAGAGTGTTTTGGCCAAGATGTTTTGGAATTATGAGCCAAGTCAAAAAGATAAATTTTTAGGAAGTAAAATCATCTCCTCTTGGTATATGCAGAGCTCCCAAATACCTTCCCTAATTTGTCTCAAACATCTTTAAAAAATTCTACCCTGGCATAAGAGAAATGTCATACAACTTGGTTTATTTTTGGTAAATGTTGTTCAAAGACTTGTACACATGCTTAACTATTCACAAGGGAGGACCTTAATGAAGGACAATTATTTGCAGGACCAGGACCTTAGGCAATGGGGTTCAAAACACACCGATTGTGGAAGGCTAGCTTTAACCTTAACTAGAGTGAGACTAAGGTCTCTTGCTAAAAACAAATGGCATTAACACCCTACTACAAATAATTAGTATGATTAAAATGTATTATCTTTAGAACTTGTGAGAGACTAATGCCCCTTTTAAATAACCCAAAGCAAATCAGCTGGGAAACCAGGCATTGCTGCTCCTTCAGTGTCTATTCTTTGTTAGCAAGAAAAACAACCTCTCCTAATTAGCAACAGTTGCTAGGCAAAGTGTGGCAGCCAGGGTGATTCCAAATGAATGGGAGGCTGCTGCTAATCCCAGAAAAAGATAGTTAATTAAAATAATATGTGATGATTTAGCCTCTTCTTTCTCAGTTTGCTAAACTACTCATTCTTCATTCAACCTAGCAGAGTGCTGCTTTCTTACTGTTTCACTGCTAGCGTAGTGAAACAATGATAGTATTATCATGTGTTTGTATAGACTAAGTGGGGGAGTCACTTGTATAGTACAGATTTTGGTGTGCTTAAACAGGCAGCTTTGTGGTAAGAGTGTTGGTGGTAAATAGATTCCCCTTTTTACCTTCCTTTAGAGGTAAAGTATTTTACATAAAATATTCTGTTATTCTCCTACTCTTCTATTGGCTCCTAACCATGTCTTTTAGGTAACTTATTTCCAGATCTTTTGCATTGCTGCATTCTGTAATTAAAGGGATTGTGATATTCTCATTGTTATAAGAAGCATATGTTGAATAGCTTCCGTGTGTGTGCATGTCATATATATATGAGAATGTACTAGGGTGCTTCTTATATTATGTTTTCTTTTTGGAGGAGTTAGATGTAAGTTAGCCTTTCCTGGGACCATTGCCTGAAACTGTTGTTACCTACATGTCTGAAGTGAAATGGGAAGATCTAAAATTAGCTCAGATCATGGCTATATATAATGCCAAAAGCTAGAGGGACATGGTTATTGGAGTTACTTGCTATTTTTATGTCTACTGTAGTTGTATTCAAAGTGCTAGCTAAACCTACATCTGTTTATCTTGTTTTTCAGTTTCATCTGATTGGAGATGTCTTCCTAGACAAAAGAAAAAAATGAAGCAGGTAGGTGCCTTCATTAGGAGTTTAGGCTTCTGTAAGAGGGATACTGATCTGAACTCTTTGGTGTCAGCTAACAGGTGTATTGTTGTACTTAATATTATTTGTCTAATTAGAATGATTTCCAGACACTCATCATCATTGCTGTAGTCTGACTAAATGTTGAGGAGCTGGTTCTTCATTCACATCTACAAGTACAATGATTGAGCCGTAATAAAATCTAGGCCTGGCAGTCACATTTGTGAATAGCAATATTCAATTCTTAGGAGGGATAGCTCCTGGAAGACCTAATATTGCTCTTTGATCTGAATGACTCTGTGCTGGCTGTATGACCTAACTCTTGGAGAAACATGCAAGTGTGGGACGGAGAGTGAATGGGCTTATGTATCACAAAGCAGCAAGCCTATATATCTATATCTTTAGAAGGCCTGAAAGGCCTTGATGTGATTTTGTTTTGTTTTGTTTGTGATGCCTCCAAATGACTATGCATGGTTGATGGGCTTCTTAAATAAGTCCTGGCATTCTGATATTTCTAACGTTAAAAACAAGTAGAAGAATCCACCCCACCCCCAATTTTTTTTTCTAATTTGGATAAGACAAGGGAGGAGATCCAGACCCTCTTTGGAAATGTGTTACAAAAGTAAAAGACACAAACCAGCTCTTCAAGAAATGCAACTTGCCTTCAAAGTTGCAATATGAATACTCTCACCTTGGCAAAAGTGAAAAGGAAGCAGAATAACATAACCCATTTCTAGCTCTTTTGATGGAGGTGAGAAGAACCAAAAACAACAACAAAAGTAAAACACGTGTTCAGGCCTTCTTTGTAAAGATGATAGAGAGGCAAAAAAGGACACACAATTTTTAACAGCTACCCTTTGCAAAGCACCATCCAAGTAGCAATATGAATGCTTTTACCTTGGCTAGTACGTCCTCATGGTGTAATGGATCCTGATAGTGGAGACCTAGACTCCTGAAGTACCTTGACTAATTTAATAGAATGAGTTTTCAGCCTATAGAGTCTCCTATGGTCAATATCTCCAATAGCTTCAAAGGACTGATCATGTGGAACATAGTCACCATAGTGAAGGTCCTTCCTCCAAGTCAATGGCATGATGCTTTCTTTTTGTAGGATGTATTCTGCGAGGTCCTCAGTCAGGTCTTAGTCTATGCTACCCCTGATGTGCTTTCATCTCCAAAAAGGAGCATCACACAAACATCCAATTAACCCATGATCCTGCAATCAGTGATACACCACTAGTTACAACTACACTTGAACCTCAAGGTGAGTGAACCCCAGGATGAAGTTGGATTTCTGTACCTAACTTAGAAGTGAAGCATGAGTACTGCTGTCCATGTGGGAAAATTCTTAAAGGTCTGAGATGCGGCCATTACCCTCACTAATGGAGAGGAGAGAGTACTACTGTTTGTGTCTTGCTGGAGAATGACATAGCTTAATTGGTTCCTATGCATGGAAGGGTGTCATCTAGGCTACCAGGGGAATAATACCCAGGTTGAGGTAGGAAACAGAACCTTGGAATTTACTTTCCTGTTGATGTTTTGTTAGGTAAAAGATCTCTGAACTCAAAGTAACCTGACTTTTGTCACAATGGTCCTCAGACAAGATCTGATTTTTTTTTTTAAATGGATTTTGCTTCTTGTTTATACTTGGTGCCAGGTGTAGTTGCAGGAGCTGGGCTACTATCAATGCATCACTGTCCATCTGGTCTCTTTATGGATCAAGTAACTTTGGAACAGCTAGTGAGTCTTATGAAACTTGCTGGAATTCTCCAGACATGGAGAAGCTGAGCTGTTGTGTAGGGTGCATCAGCCAGAAGCCCTACAAAAAGCCTTACCTAGATGCAAAGCTGTAAAGGAAACAAGAATAATCATGGCCTAGCTGAAGGGGCTTTGGACTGGAACTTGGGAGATGAGGGTTCTAGTTCTGAGTGCTGACGTGATTTACCCAAGGTCACCCCCCTCTTTGCATCTCTTTCCTCCCCCTCCTTTTGTAAAATGTGATCCTTGCCTGCCTTTTCATCTGTAGATCTCAAAACAGTTTGCAAAGTACTCAGAGCTCAATTATCAGAGGGGTAGCCGTGTTAGTCTGGATCTGTAAAAGCGGCAGAGTCCTGGGGCACCTTGTAGACTAACAGAAGAATTACGTATTATGTCTGTTAGTCTATAAGGTGCCACAGGACTCTTTGCCGCTTTTTCAGAGCTCAGTGTTACCTTCCTTTTACGTTTAGATTTCAAAGCTCTGTCCTGACTATTATAACCCTGAGATCACAGCAAGGTTGTGGATAAAAACTTTGTAACTGTGGAGGTGGGATAAGTATTTTTGCTTCATTAAATGAATATTGCAATATTTGGCTTAGATTGGAAGAGATGAGACCATGTTGCCTACAATGCCATTTCCTGGAAGTGTCGACGTGTTGTTGATCTTTGTTTTGTCAGCTTATTCTTAATATGCCCTTGAAAAGATCCTAGCAGGAATTTGTGTTAAGGCTGATATTGCTGGATCTTGTGAACTAGAACATCTGCAATAGTTTCTGTTTTATGGTGTGTGTGTGTGTGTGTGTGTGTGTTCTGTCTACACAACAGTAAGAATAAGGCAAGAACACAGCCACAGTTGGGTTCCAAATAACTCTTTGCTAACTATATACAAACATACAATGCCTAGCTAAATATATACACTTGGCAGATGTTGAGATTCAAAGATAAAGCTTTACACCATTAAAACACAAATAGTCAGCAAGGCCTATCAAAGTATACAAAGTAAATATCTTCAAAACAAGCTTTAATAAGTTTTCAAGCAGCATTTTTATATCTGTAAATTTTGATTATCAATGGAAATATTTTTTTGTTGGTCGGTCTTGGTTTCTCTCTCTCTCTGGTGAAATCGATATTACACTTATCAATAAAAATCTAATCCTTCCAAGCCTGAATGAGACAGGGAGGCCCACTGCAGGCTCCCAAACTATTTAAAGGGATACTACCCAATTCCTGTACATTCTACTGCGGGCTTATTATGTGTCTGCAGGCTACTGTGGCTTATATCTTTTGCCTGATTGAAATACAGGGTAAAGAGTTCTTTTTCAAAATAGTATTTTTAAACTGGGAATTCTGACCTCTTTACAATGAGAAGATCACTTGAAAAAGGATATTTACAGCTTCCTGATGGAGAATGCACTCTTGTTCCAGCCCTAGAAAGCCTTCATGACTACTTATAAAACTGTAGAGGCTTTTTATTTGTGTGTGTTTGTAGCAATGCAATCTTAGGTCACTTTGTTTCTTGTGATGGGACCTAATCATACAGGCCTCCAAAAATGTTTTCCCAATCTACCTGCCAGATTTGCTACCCCATCTCATACAGATGACCTTTTAAAATTTACCATGAAGTATGCAAAAGTGAAAATTGTATCTTTATATGTAGTGGGTTTATTTATTATATCTAAAATGTACAAAAACACTTAGCAGCAATCTCATTTTCTTCGTATGTATTGGAATTGTTCAGGGAAACTACGTGTGTTAAAGTTCTCTTTACACCATCAGCTAGTTTCTTACTTCCAGCATACTCAGGTGTCATATTCCATGGTGCAATCCATACCAGTGAGGGGTTGTTACCACCTGTGTGAGTGGCCCAGTGGGAATAACAAGTCGATCAGCGTTCAGGTCAGACCCTGAGTGTCTGTGTATAGCTGCAGCTCTGACCCCAGCAGCTTGTCAGCAACACTCCAGTCACACTCTGGCTTCCATCAGCCGTGGTTACTGCTTGCAGGGTGGCCCCAACACACTGCCAGTCCCACATTTCCCCCCAAATGTGTGTTCTGCATTGCCCAGCCCTCTCCTGGACAGTTGAGCTATTAGAGGTCCATTGCCCCTGTAATGGGTTAATATTCAATAATTTGCTACTTTAATTGGAGTTAACAAACAGTTCAGTTTAAATACAACACTGGCTTAGTTGTAATTAAAAAAATAAAACAAGTTTATTTAACTACAAAGAGATTTTAAGTGAGGACAAGTATAAAGCGTTAAAGCCAGAAATGGTTACAAGAGAAATAAATATAAAACACGTTCTAGTATCTAAAACTTAGCAAACTAGACTTGGTTCAAGGAAAAATCCTTACTGCAGTTTGTCAGCAATGTTCCCAGGTCAAGATGTCTTTGCCTCCAAAGTCCAATGGCAGGTTAATTTGTCCTCTTGGGTCAGAGTAAGAGATGGGAGGGGTAGAGAGTCTCAAGAACCTTGTTTACTACTTACTTGTAAATTGAGGGAGACACACATTCCTTTGTTTAGGATAGATATATTTAACAACTCTTGCCTAGTCAGGGCTTTGTGGGTGTGGACATGTGCTCACATCATCATCATTCAGAAATTCATAACTTTACATATAATGCTATTAAATAAAATTAGACTAATACAGGCATGGTTCTGCTGGGAGTAATTTGTTCAGGTTTGAAACTTCTGCTAGTAAATGACTGAACCCAATTTTAGGTACTGTTCATAATCATCACTGTCCGTATGACTTTTTAGAGTCAAATATCAATTTCAGCTTGATAAGAAAATTATTTTAAAAGCAGCTGTCAAGGCTGATTCCCCACTCTGGCACTTTGAGTACAGAAGGTGGAGGCCTGCAAGGATTCTAAAAACTAATACTGGCCACTCCAGGCTGGTATTTAAACTCCCAAGGTCACAGTTTCTCCCTGATCTTGGATGGGTAAATGCTGCCACCACCCAAGTGCAAAAAACCCCCAAACCCTTGGGACCCAGGAGGCGCACTTGGGAATTCCTCCCTGTGGGGTGCCCTTAAGCCCTTTCACCCCCGCCCAGCGAAGAGCTGAGGGGAAAAAAACAAAGGAAATTAGCTGTGGCTATCAGCTAAACAAACGACATGCACAAACCTCTTAGGACACCAAAAATCCAATCCTGTTCTTATAAAAGGTAAATTTTATTTAAAAACAAAAAGAAAATACATCTGGAACTTAAGCTATTGCTAGGTTTAAAAACCCCACTTACAAAAATTAAACATCAACAATAACCTTCTTGAGGTCCAGCTTAAAGGTTACAAGCAAAACAAAAAGCGTTTGGGGTTAGCACAGACAGGGGAGTCCACAAGCCAATAAGAAATAAACCTACTTGTGTCATTCTAAACATTCCTGATCTACTTACATATCTGTGTTGTTAAATAAGTAGTTCTAGATATTATCTGATGATTTTCATATCTGGCTTTAGCTTCTCATAGCATAACTGCTCCCTGTTCCCCTCTTTCCTGGAGAACAACGCACAGGCAAAGGGAAGTTTTTTTTCCAATTTTAAAAAGTTCTAGCCCTCCCATTGTCTCTTTTGGTCAGGTGCCCACTCCTTTCCTTTTACCTGTAGGCTTGTTAATCCTTTACAGATAAAGCAAGTAAAGAACAGCTACTAAGAGGCATTTTATGGCTGGCTGGCTGGGAGCCCATAAAAGGTAGCTACCCTCTCTCCCCCCCGCTTTCATTTATCGCACCGGCTGATCTAGCTTGAAGCTAAATATTAATTCACTGTAGAAATGACCTGTTTCAGTCTAAGATATGGGGTAATATTTCTAAAAGTGATTTAGCAATATGCAGCTTAAATCTCCATTGGAAGTCCATGGCATTTAGGCACCATTGACAATTGTATCCTGGATTCTTTTTCAGTTAGGTTTTTTTTAATCTCACAGGTATTTGGTTGTCTGAAACATGCCATTGGTATGAGGCAAAGGGGAAGCTCACTGCACTCTGTCATCTTTAGGAGACCTGAAACAAAACCTTGAAAGAGAAATCGCTAGAGAAAATGTAAGCAAGTAAAATATACACATTGCTTGGAGGGAAGGAATGACTGCTGAGTGCTTTTCAATGGCTGAATACTTCAATGCTACTTACTTCAATGACCCAAGTAAGCTAAATTTATTGTAAGAGGGAACATGTTAACTGATTCAGGTCACCACGGTGTAGTTTAAAACAGCTCTAGTTGATTGTATCAAATCACCACTGCAGTGCAACAGTGCTATAACTAAATCCATTTTGCTAAACAAATTACTTTATAGGCAAGACAATTTAACAACAGATAGAAAGAGAACCTGCTAAAGGACATATTAGCAGGCAGCCAGCAAAAATAATCCCCAAACTGTTTTTAGATGAACCTTTAGCAATATACGCTAATAAGAGAGGTTGTGGGAATATGACATACTGTTATGGTGCAGGGGATGGAGATTCTGGGACATGACACTAAACGGTAGGATAGCACTAAAGTGGTATTTGGTGTAGTGTGTGCGCTGCAAACTAGTGTGCTCATTTTCCCCGAGTCTCTTCACCGAACTTGCTACTGTACTGTTAAGCTGCCTGCTTCCTGTGCACAGATTGTCCTCTTTAGGGGCTTTGGAATGCCGTGAGTTTCTGCTCATGGCATTTTTGACTTAATTCTCCCATTTATGGGTCGTGGTGTTGGTGGGTGGCAGGAGGAGAGAAAATGTTTGGACCTTGCCTAACCTTGAAATAGGAGGGGGATGGGCTCGATAATATCCTAGAGGGAGCAGCAGCAGCACTGACCCGATAAACCTAAGCCCTGTGGAATATGGGAAAGTGCAGCCCACCTTACTGTCAGCCCTCTCAATCAGCCAACATCCAAATGTGGAACTCGGTGTGTGATAAAGAGCCAAAACTGGGGGGTCATGCAAAATTTATGTGGGAAACTTAAAATGATGTGGGCTTCCTTCCTTTATTCTGAACTCTTTCCATGAGCTTCAGCTTAGTGATTTGTTGTCTTGGATATAAATCCGTTAGTGAGGATGATGCCAAGTTAGGGTGGAACACACATAACTTGCGGAGAGAAGTGTGGTAGCTTAGCCCCACCCAAGAGGATGAATGGAAAGGGGTGTTTGTGCTCCTGGGGAGGAGGGCAGATGTGGACAGTTTTCTTAAATTCCAATTTTGAAAATACAGAGGATTGAAAAATTAATAAGAAACAGAAAAATGAAGGAGACAAGGCTAAGGGTGTTGGATAATACACTACCCAGGTTGATATTTGTGTCTTCACAACCTTGGACCTGGATGGATTGTCTGAGTATACTGTACCCTTGTTAAAGGTACAGTTAGCTGTAGAGAGAGTGCCAAGTTTCTTTGGTTTCTAGGAGTTCAGTCTGTGCACATGTTCTATGAAGGGGATCCAGTTGTTCCTATTTAATATATTTGTTTTTCCATAACTAGCATATTCCCTCATTCTCATTCGATAGGGTATGATACCTGGTGATACTGTGTCTCCCTCTTCCCCCTGCAGTGTGTGGGTTTGTATAATAAATGAGCACTTATCAACAGCTGGAAAATAAATTCTTTCCACATCATGTTATGCTGTTAAATTAACATCTGGTAAAACTAAAGAGAGGTTTTGGGGTCACAGTAAGGTGATGGCTGAAACAAGGGAAGAGCCAAATCTTCTAATCTTCCCCCAAGTTTGGGGGAATCCCCATCAAATGTGAATAAATGAGCTGGTTTCACTATATTCCGAACTTCAATCAGAAATAGTCCCACAAATATTCTAGCCTCTTTAATGGGGTGTAAGGATAAATGACCACTTGCTATTCCTACAGAAGATGACTAAACCTGAGGAATGACAGGTTTCAGAGTAGCAGCCGTGTTAGTCTGTATTCACAAAAAGAAAAGGAGTACTTGTGGCACCTTAGAGACCAACCAATTTATTTGAGCATAAGCTTTCGTGAGCTACAGCTCACTTCATCAGATGCATCCAAAGAAGTGAGCTGTAGCTCACGAAAGCTTATGCTCAAATAAATTGGTTAGTCTCTAAGGTGCCACAAGTACTCCTTTTCTTTTTGCGAAACCTGAGGAAGGAAGGCAAAAGGAGAAGGGCCCAGGATATCTCCTTTTCTCCCACAGGGGCATGGCCAAGAGTAAGGGCTTGTCTACACTGGCAAGTTTCTGTGCAGTAAAGCAGCTTTTTGCGCTCAAACTGCAGACGTGTATACGCTGCCAAGCTACTTTGTGGGCAGAAACTCCTCAGTTGCAGCACTGCAAAAAACCCACCTTGGCGAGAGTCGTAAGGCTTTTGCACAGAAGCTCCAGTACTCTATTGCCAGTGTAGACTCTTGATTGCTTTCTGTGCTGTAATTGGCCTCCGGAGCTGTCCCATAATGCCTCAAGTGACCACTCTGCTCATTGTTTTGAACTCGGCTGCCCTGGAGACATGTGCCCTGCCCCTTTCAAATAACCATTTCTGACAGCCCTTGTGTGCTGATCTGCTCCGGGACACAAAGCAAACCATTAATGTGGAATGCTTGTGCTGTTGAACACAGAGGCAGGTGTGTGTGTGTGTGTGTGAGAGAGAGAGCTCAGGGAGGAAGGCAGGGGCTGATGTCGGGGTTCCGCCCCCGCCTCAGGACTGGTTGCTTCCTGCTGCTGTCCCCCAAAACACACCATCTCTCTGCCCCACCACACACACTCCCTGTCACACACTCTCCTCCCCCCACACCACCTCAGTTGAAAAGCAACTGGCAATCTAGTAGGAGGCCCATGGAACAATGGGATTGGGAAACCTGCATCATGTGACACTGTGCCTGTCCCATGAGACATTGCAAACCCTTCCCAAAGCACTCTATGGCCAGTTGCACAGTGGGATAGCTACCACAATGCACTGCTGTCTTTGCCGCTGCAAGAGCTGCTAATGTGGATGCGCTCCAGCGTCACAAGGAGCACGGTGTGGACGTGCATCAGTGTTTTAATAAAAGTAGTATAACTGGTGGCGCAGAAACTTGCCAGTGTAGACATACCCTAAATTATTCCCTTTTCCAGTCAAAGATAGGGGAGGCAGAATGATCCTGAGATGGTTATTCCTGCTTTCAGGTTAGCCAAGGATCACTGTGGCCAAATGACATGTGACCCCAGGGCGAGGTTACTTGAACAGATTGAGGTTCTTCTTAGCCAACTAGAAAGAGGTAGGAGTTTTTCCTGACTTAAGTTGTTGTTGCTGTGGGTAACAGCATGTTTCTGATAGATCCTAACATTTTCCCTCTAGAAATCAATGAGGTATTTACTCTGTTCCAAGTTTTTAGTCTGTGTTACTCTGGAAATGGGATATTTTCCAAGGTTAACTCTTTTATTGTTCTTTATCTGGATTAGATGGAGCCTTCGAAATTACTAAATATTTTTAAAATCTGCAGTGAAACCCTTAGATCCATTTCATGTGCACTATAAAACTGCCACCTAACACATTGTTAGATAGGACAGCAGTTCATTAATATTGGTAGATGAGGAGCACCATTCCTCAATGTATAACTTTAATAGTGGTCATTTTCTATGTATTAAAGTTTTGTTTTAGCACTTCTTGTAGTAACATCTGGCTGATAGGAAAAATGTTATCAAGCAAGTCAAATGCTTTCCTTCCCCTTTCCCTCAGCCCAGTGGTTAAGCAGGTTCTGACCCTTAAACACATGAGCAGTCCCATCAAAGTCAATGGGATGACTCATTCTTAAAATTAAACCCTTTGCTGAATTGGAGCTACTAATAGGATGTGGTTTCCCAAAACATCTGGTCATATGGTTATTTCTCTGAGACTGTACATTCCTTGGGGCAGGGTCTGTCCAGTTCTAGTACAGTGCTAAGCACATTATTTGTGCTCAACAACAACAATTGCTTTTCCTGCTGCACCACTCTTGACCAGCCTTTCTCGGTATAAATTAAATCAGTTAAGAACTCCATTAAATCCACTTACTGATCTGTATTCCAACCCACTGTGACATGCCCTGCGGTGCAATCTGGCCTGTTAAACTCATGTACCCCCGTTACCTCTCCTGCCCAGGCTGTCGCCTATGCTGCTCTGCTAGTCAACAGCAAATTCTGCCAGGCTCCGTTCCCTCAGCCATCCGTGTGCAGAGGCAGACCCAGCTAAATTGCACAAATACTCTCCCAAGCCACACATCAACTACTACATATAGGGAAACCCCAGCAAATTCCCCCAGCCACAGCCTCGCACCCCAGAAATGTGTGTCTTACACTGCTAAAGATCTGATTAATGAATTCACCACTCCTTCAAAGGGTATTGGACATGCCCCAGCCTCTGTAATCTGAGCAGATTCCCACAAGCACTTTCGACAAACTCACTGGTTTAGATTAAACATCAAAATCAGTTTATTACTGGAGAAAGATAATCACTTTAAAATCTAAGTGAACGCCTTCCAGTTAGATCCAGCCCCTCCCAAAGTCTCAATAGAGATCTTTGTTTTCCAGGCGATCTTGCTTCCTTGTATAGAGATGGGGGGAGAGGGGTGAGGCAGGCTCTGTGGTGACATCACTGTTCCTCATTTAAACTTTTCTCCAGGTGCTGGAAAAATCCATGCTGTGTCATGGGGTTAGGCGCCCTCCGTGGTGTACGTGAGCTGCTCACTGTCCTTTATTATGAATTGCAAATTTTTGCTTGCACCTTTTGTCTAGTGAAGTTTGGCATGTAAGGCCTCTGTGTATACAGTTCCTTTGTCCTCTCTGAGGGGCTCATCTGTGGACATTTCCTAGACTCTCTCAATATGTTTCAGTGACAAACATGAAGTTATGAGATTTTGCTATATACTTTCATACACACATTTCAACAAGATAATGAGGTTCAGCAAATCAAGACTCTTCAAATAATACCTCACGATATATTTTGCACAAAACATATAATATAGCAGTGGTGAATATGTGGGCACAGGGGGTAACATGGGGTACAGTATGTCAAATCTACCATACACAGTGACTCTCAATATGACCCCTTGCTTGTAAAATGCCATGTAAATGTACAGTATTCTGTTAATTAATAAACAATTTATATAAGGGTGAAGGAGCCAGTGTAGCTGCTTTAACGGTAGAAAAATGTTTGACCTGTAATAATTTGGCCATAATGCATCTGACCAATCATGAATCAAAGTTGTCAGAAAAACCACTTGATAGCTAGTCAATACATTCTTTGAGTTGCTAATTATTATTTAATGGAGGGGAAGCTTTAATGAAGTCTTGTCAGTCTTCAAAGTCTGGGCAGATTAATGCGCAAACCAATCACTCATGCTCGTAGCAAAAC